AACTTGCAACACAAAGAGATCTTGTTATTTTAGTTGATATTTACATCTCTAACAAATTATTCACTAATTGGTCAGTTGTAATTGGATAGTCTGCGTAAGAACATAAAAACTACACTGAGTTCTATGGGGAATCAATATCGCTAGCGTTGCCACTCTGCCAGTTCTAGAAAATGTAAACACTCGAGATCTCAGATTAGTGGAATTATATCCGTAATCATTGCTAACAAACCAGTGTCAATAAGACACAATGTAATACGGGAACGAAAATATGATAGCTTGCTATCTATAAATAGTCTGTTATAAATTATCATAAAGAAGCTACTTAACAGTATGAATGGGTACATTTTCTTGTTTTCTATATTTCAATCTGGTGACAAAGTTTTACCACATGGTTTGTACCTAAACATATGCCTGGTAGATATAATAAGCAGTCAGTCGCAGAATTTTAGTAAACAAATTGAAAATGTCACAAGACGCCTACGAGGAACATAAAACTGGCACCAAAGTTGTTTTGATAATTACAATTTTCTGCATGTGTGGAAATGTGTAATCGTGGTTGTGTGCATCAGGCCATGTTAAACATTTCACTCAGATCACCATCGTTGATTACACCACTGAACGGGTATCCTGTTCCGCTAAACTTATAATTTATGACTGTAGAAACAAACAGATATGTATACAATGGTAAATACAGTGGCTTACCTGCATAGCAAGGTAAACAAGTTCCCCACAAGGCCACACCTGGCTAGGCCTACCTTAGGTACCCACCACCTCCACTCATGTAGACCACACCTAGTTAGGCCTACCTTAGCTTCCTGTAATATCTTCATACTTAGACCACAATAAGTTAGGCCTACTCTAACTACATACCACCTCCCCATAATAAGGACACTCCTGCATAGCCCTACCTTAGCTGCCCCACAAGGTTCCTGTACTCAGGCCACACCTACCTAAGCCTACCTTTGAAATTGCCCTGGCTACCCACAATTTCCCCATTTTCCCATTAGGCTATACCTAGTTTGACCTTATACTGCCTACCCACAACCTCCCCATAAGGCTACACCTATTTTGACCTTATAGTGCCTACCCACAACCCCTCCACGAAGCTACACCTAGTTTGACCTTATACTGCCTACCCACAACCTCCTCATGAGGCTACACCTATTTTGACCTTATACTGCCTACCCACAACCCCTCCATGAGGCTTCACCTGGTTTGATATTACCCTGTCTACACAACCTCCCCATGAGGCCATTAATATAAGCTTATATCAAGCTTGCATTAATCTTTTAAACTTTACATAGTTGGATCCCAAAATTGCTCTTTTACCTTGTCTGATTGTAAAATGACCTGACTTCAAGTATTATCAATAAAACTTCAACAAAAAATCAATAAAGATTATGATTCAAACACACAGACAATAAGCTTTATAATGACAATGATTGCCTTGACAATAAGCTTTATAATGACCATGATTGCCTTGACAATAAGCTTTATAATGACCATGATTGCCTTGACCAGTGCAACAGCAGTTCTCATGACCATATTTTGTATGATGGAAATATGTCAGTGAATATTAGGGAAGTTTCCTAAATTATTGTTTTTAGTAGGAAGCCAACCCTTGGGTTAATTTGAAATTCTATCTGCTTGTCATCTAATTATACAGAGGAGAAAAAAATCTTGTCAACATTGAAAAAAAAAAGTTACCCAGACATTGGTTGATTTGTGAGTGGAGTGCTGTTATGTCCACGATTGGCAATCCCAGTCTAGATAATGGCCATGATACAGACAAACGTATGGAGAAAAAGGAATTTGTCATAAAGAGTATTTAATTATTTGATTGATTACAGAGAGCCTGACAGGCGTGATGGGTCAACGTCAGTGTGCAATGTATCATTTCCGTATCTTATGGAAGTGATTTGGAATATATATCACTTTTGTGACACATCCAGGGATATGGATATAAAAACCCAATGCGTTCTGTAGTGTTTTTTGTAGACACTAATGCCTGTATAATATCATGTAATAATGCCCAAGCTCCGACTATCATGATAGATAGGTATTCACACACCTTATTTTTTATACCAGTGTCTGACTAGGGCTTTTCACTACAATTTCTTATTTTGTTCCACCATTGGTCTGTAATTTCATTTATCTTTGGTCATGCTTGGGGAAAATACTGTTCATACTTTTCAACTACATCTTGTTCATACTTTTCAACTACAAGCTTAAATATATAATCATTTTTGATAAACTATGACTTTTCTGTAATTCTTGCATGATTTTTGTCAGGATTTATACTTCTTTGAAGCACAATGGAATTGGGTTTTTTTCTTGTCTTGTCTTGACAATTGGAAACAGAGGTAGTCAGGTGGGAACACCATAAGTCCAAACCAATCTAACAGCCTCTCCATATCAGTTGATGATCGTTTAACCAGAGAGGTTGAAAATAAAAAACGATATAAAACTAGACAGAACAAGATCAATTTTTTTCCTTCCATCACCTTTCAATCAGCAATGTCTGGGAGGAGGTAATATCACCATTGTCCTGACACCCAAGTGTACAAAAACGCTAAAACACGCGGGAGAATTTGACACATTAAAGTGAGCATATTCTTAAATCATAGCCTTGCCTTGGTTAACGTCAAAATCATGACAATTTGTGTAGCAGGAATTGCTGTTCATTGGTGAATATTACCATGGTTAATGTTGTCTGTGTGTTCACTTTGAAGTGAAAAATCTGAAAAAAATATGGGGTATATCATGTTCTTCTATTTAGAGATAATGATTAAATTTACAAGATTCTCCAAACTGACAGATTTTTATCTTTCTTGAGTGTCTGTAGGAACTTTTTACTGTAATTCAGCTTGTGTGGATAACTGTAATATGGTTGGTAGGTTTTATGAAATGATAGGTTTTCCAGCACAATCAGATTCACACTTTATACGGACTATATTTCTACATATCAAAATGGTAAACAGTTGCCTATTACCATAAATGCATTCAGAGGTTAGCAGATGGAAATACTGTTGTTGGATCATTAGTGTAAATATTCTGTTGCATGTGGAAATCACCTTTGTTGAATAAAGGTATTGACCAGTTATAAAATGGCCTGATAGTACATGTTTTTACCTGTAATCGCCACATACTCTTAGATATTCATAAACATAAGGAAAACTTGAATATCTCATTTTATGACTACCTAGCTATTCAGGTGTGTAAATTTGAATGCGATTAATGCACTAATAATACTGTTATGAAGATCTTGATGGTTACGGTACAAATATGTAACGGCGACATGACAACAGAATGGCTGCATGAATATTTCAAATTTAATATTATGTACAGTTATACATTAAACACCCATCAACGAAGAGGAAGACGTGTACCTCAAATGCAGTGTATTTACCTGTAGTGTTTTCAATGAACATAACACCTGTTTGGAATTTAAATATTCATGTATCGGGAAAGATAGCTATTTGTGAAGCATCGGTAATACCGGAGCAATACTAGTCTGCGGTGAAGATAATTGCTTGTATCTCAAGCATAGAACATTTTATTGCTGTTTTTATGATAGCGAGCTTTTAGAAATTCAAATGAATAATATAAATGTTCATAAGTATTCTTTTTGAACAATGATAAGCTACTTGTACACAGAATTTTATGATGTTTTCCGAGAAGGATGATAATCATTAGAATTATCATATTTAGATCAAGTGGATATGGTGCTTATAAATTTATGTCCTCAAAATTAGATACCAAAATTGATTGTTCTAAATGGAGGTTGAGTAATCAGCAATGAATTCATTTCATTATTCATATGTAATGACTACTTATTAAAGGTAACAGAAGGCGTGAAATCAATTTGAAATTCACTTTACATGGAGGTTTATAGTTCATGTGGGCTAACACAGACCTGATCACACCTGGGATCAACCACCCAAGTAGAAGTGACATGTAGTTGTTGTATTTTGTAACCAGATTATCCATTCTGTTATGTTTATCTATAGTCTGGATGTGAGAAGCTGAGGTATCAAATGTTATAACGGGGTCTCATGATAGTAACCAACTTGGGCATCACAAAATCTCCTGAACCAGAGGGTATGATAGAATCCTTTGAACCAGGGCATGATAGCATCACTTTGATCAAGAGCATCATAGCAGTATCTAAACTAGGACATATTGAAATCTTCTGATAGTATCCCCTGAATGAGTGTTTCTCCTTAACCAAGGCTAGATAGAATCTCCTGAACCAGTTATAGGGCATCTTATTATTCCCTGAACCAAGACATTGTAGTATCCTCTAACTCAAAACATGATGACATCCCCTGAGCCAGGGTATGATATCTCCTCAATGTATCTGTGTATCGCCTGAACTAGCTCATAGTAGGCATCTAGCATCAACATTTGAACCTATTGGGATAACAGAGATTAAACTCCATCATATTCCTTTAGGTCTTTAACAATACTACTTTATATACATACATACAGTTGTATATTGCACCTGTATCTATGGGAGATATTAGCTTTTTATACTGCTTGCAAGGAGGACAAAAATACAAAATTTCAAGGCCAGGATGACTAAACTATGTAACTGATTTGTCATGTAATATAGTATTTCACTTGCTGAAGGCATTTAGAAATGCATTTAAACGTACATTAACTGATGAATCTCTTTTCATATGAATTCATCCATAACATGGATGGAATATGTATGTACTTGGATGTTGTGCTACAGCTCTCCTTTCTTCTGCATTGTTAGAAATTCATGGTGACATAAAGTTTTTACCTTCACCAGTGACTCTGCTGTTTAGTTTCTTACCATCACACTTATACTGTGTTTTAGATGATTCTCAAACTCAATGTAAGTTATCTGCATATGATAACAATGTATACTTTGATTATAGATTGTAGATATCACTTAGAGCAACAGTTTTCATTTTCTTCAAAATCTTGCGTAATTTAATTGTGCTTACAGTGATCTCCCCTTGTTTTTACAGCTGAGCTGAAGATGGAGCTGATCAGAGAGAAAGAAGTTCGTGAGAGTCTGGAGAAACAGCTGTCTGCTGAACAGAGAAGCAAAGGTAAGCAACATAAAAAATGTTCTAGGTCATATCACTGTCTATACAGAGAAATTGAAATTTTTTTTTCCTTTAAGAAATATCTAATCTTAAAATATGCTACACTGTGAAACTCCTCTCCAATGGAACAAGTACAGAAACTGTCTAAACTTGAAAATGTATATGTTTCTTTACTAGTTATGCTTCTGAAGAGGATAAAGAAGGAGAAGAAGATCCGAAGGAAACTTCAGGAACAACAGCTGATGGACATGTCACTTGAGCAGCAGATAAAACCCTCACACAGCCCCAACACGGCCAGTGTACCAAGTCCCGACTCTGTAAAAAACAACAATGGTGAGTGGAATTCTCCCTCTGATCATCACCACTCTCAAGCATCTCCATCCCAAGCCAGAGCGACCTCATCCCTGTTCTTAAACCTCATCAACTTCCCTACATTCAACTGGAAGCATAATCCCTACAGTCCATTCCTTCCTTAAACTTGACCAGAATTTACATTATGGGTTATAGGTTCAGAGCAGGATATATCATCATCACTCTCAGGTGTAGATACTTTTTACCATCCTCAACCAGTCATATTCCAACATAAGTCATTTACCCAGGTATTCTCCATTAAGTACACTAGTGTCAACAAAGAACTATGTCTCTTTCGAACCTCATTTCTTCTCCCTAAACCGTGATGTCAACCTACTTCTGAGGACATTATAGCCCTCACTGAATTAGATACCTCATCCAAACCTCATACTGAGTTCCTTTCTCATGAATCATTTTTTAATCCCTTATGATTGACTTAATTTGTGAACTGTTTCAGAATCTGCAAGTGAAAAAGAAGTTGAGAAGGAGATACCTAATGAGGCTATGGACAGGCGAATGAGCTGTAGTACAGGTCAGTTCAAGGTCAAAACATTAGCTATTTGATTGTCATTAGTAGAAAACCCTATCTACGAGAAATCTAAAAAATTACATTTTCGTCTAAGTACAGTTAAGACTAAAGGAAGAACATGCTGAGAGATACTTACATAATGGAAGGTGCTTGAGTATTTTATCTTCATCAATATTACTCCAATCTATACATTCACAAAAGAATTATATATTCTGTTTCTCATGACTTCAAGGAAGCATTGTATTCCTTTTAAATTAGATTAATGATGGTCCAGAGTAATTTACTATTCTGTAACTTTTCATTTCCAGAATCCCAAGAACGCCCAAGCCACCTGTTTGAGAACTACCTTTCACACAGCAGCAATAACACCAGTAGGTTTCCATACTTACCGATGGTGAAGGATGTACAATAGGCCTGTGGCCCCAACAGACCTCCATACTTTTTATCTTACCATATTGGAATAAATGATCTCAGACGCATAGATGAGTGGGAAGATGTGAAGAAAGAATGAATTTTAATGTTGTAAGGGATCTAAAAATCTGCCACAGTAAAACAAATGTCTTGAAATGAAACATTGAAGACAAAGATTGTGTTCCAGTCTATCGAAGAACTTGATGTGGAAAGTTTAAGCCAATTCATTGTCTGTTGATATGACATCTGTTGGCTTTATTAAGGATATACATTATTAGGGATTCAAAGACACAAAAAATCAAAACCTTGAACAAGAATTCAAGGGGAAGTTTGATTGGACAATTCAAAACCATTTTAACCATTCAGAATCCTTGACAGAAATACAGGTACAGATATAAAAATCCTGATTGATCAGTCAGTTCATTGTGTAACATGTTTTAGTTAAAAATAAATCAAAGTGTTTATATGTTAAGTTAAATATATTTGATCTAGGAGATTTTTCTACTCAATTAGTTACTATTCATCAGTGTATCTTCTGTTGTTGTAAAACTATACATGTGCTTGTTACATGATGAAGAATTGCTCTCCCCAATATCAGTGGATTGAAATACAACATTGAATATTTATGGGTGTACATATATGTATAGTGATATTTTTTCACAACTAAATGTTTATTCTTTGTGCCATTTTGTGTTGGAAAATCCAATGGTGTTGAAATTATTTTACATCCTGTTTCTTTTACTGAAATTGCAATATATCAAAATTCATTTGAATAACTAAACATATATGGGACTTATCAATTCTGGTAAATTAAAACTCTAAATAAGGAATTAATAGTGATAGTTTTCCCTGTTTGTTTCACAGAAGATAACTGAAGTTTAAAAACATGGATATTTATATATCTGATATTTCAATACAAGGAGTTTTTATAGAATTGTTCATTTTATTGATAAGATGAGTTGTAATGAATATTTTGTAATGAAATAAATTTAAAGTATAGGTGTCAGGTAATTATCCATGTGCTATAAGTGTCGTTTTTTAGTGTGTAGAACTCCAAAGTGTTTCACACCTGCCATTTATACCCTATTCCCATATCTCAAGTAAGCAAATGTTATGTGATATAATTATTATATGCTATGGTTATTCTTTATACCAAGAGAGATGATAGGAAAAAGAAATGTAACATGTTAGAAAACAGTTTGAATTTGTTGTCTCAAGGCACATGTGTAGTCGTTTATTGCATTTTAAATATTCATGGCTCATGTTTAGCTTCTCATTGGTTCGTTTGTTGTCCTTGGATATATTTCAGAATAGATTGTCTTATTGAATTATTTTTAATGACTTTGTTATGAATATTCATTTAAGATGCTTTTGTTGAATATTGACTTATGAATATTCATTAAGAAGCTTTATGAATAATGATTAAAATGGATGTCAATCTCCAATGCTAGGACAAGGTTGCCATGGAGAATTGTACAATTTAGTAAAATTACTCTGATATCGCTTATGAAACTGGACAAAACATTTCAGATGGGCTCAGCTAGAACAAATCCTGGGTTGTAAAAAATACTTAATCATATTTTTAGCATGCTTAAGTCTGGGTTCAATTTAGAGCATTCATGAAAAACTCCAAATATTAAATAAACCTGATCTGAATACTTTATCAAGCTAAGACTTTGTAGTGATGTCCCATAGTATTCATTCATCAGGTAGGAATTTTTGACAGGGTAATATTTTTTTTTATGGCAATATTTTCCTTCTCCCTAAAATTGAACTCTTAAAAAAACCTGCAATATATTACACCTTTTAAACTTTTTTATCTGTTCACCGATGTTTTTCATCTGTTCTCCAAATTTTGATTTATGTCAATGTTGATGCAGACAATAGTCTTTGTTTTGTTTGTTTCAAACATATGTTATGATCTTGATAATTGTTGTTTACTTATGTGCATTTATTGTTCTTATTGATAAATTTATATCAGGACCTTCATTGATCTTGATTGACAATTTGTGCCATTCACACATAGCCAAGGACCTTGGAGGACAGGAGATATCACACATGTGTTAAGCCAAGGACCTTGGAGGACAGGAGATATCACACATGTGTTAAGCCAAGGACCTTGGAGGACAGGAGATATCACACATGTGTTAAACCAAGGACTTTGGAGGACAGGAGATATCACACATGTGCTATAACACTCCATATTTCCTCTGCTATCTGTCCCCCCCCCCATCCTCTCATACCACAAACATACATATTTTACTTTTTGTAAATGCAATTAATTTCAGTGCAATAAAGCAATGATATGTCTACTTCTGTTAAACCTGACTGTTGGTCAGAGCCTGGTGATAACTAAGACTTGTAGGCATTGGTGTGGCCTATGTTAAAGCTGACTGCCTAGTCCCTTTTCCAACACCATATCTGACCTGTCCAAGTCTTAGACAATAACACAGGATCATCCTGGTGTGTTTCATTTGAACCTCTTTCTGCTGAAACACACATTCTGAAGTACATATATGATACTCTTATTTTAAGAATATGGAGAAAAACTTCGGTTGCCATGGAACATTGTAATAATTACAAGGACAAATTTGAAAAAAAAAAAAATAAAAAAAAAATAGTAAACTTGAAAGATGTTGATTAAGCATATGATGGAGTTGACTGTGTTTGTATCTTATGGAACAAATATTAAATGGTGTTGAATTCTGACATGTTTTGAATTATACAATTTATATAACAATGTTCTTGCCAGGAAAGTTGGAGTATGATAAATACAGCTGTTGTTGTGATGTACTGATGCGTCTTGTGTGATGTCAGTGTATCAGGACACATCTGAGATTGATGTTAAATGTCTATATGTTGGTGTAAGAACAAATGTCTTAATTTTAAGATTTTAAGATATGTCTAAAGTTGAATTTGTTTAAATAGTTTAAGATATGAAAGACACACTTGATGTTATTAGTTGATACATGTGTAAAAGTTAGACATGTCTTATCAAAAAAAGATGAGATATAAAACTATTTCTAATGTCTCCTGCAAGTACTGGAAATCTATATATTTTTAGGTCTCTAATAAGATTTCATTTGGAGCAATTAAGATGTCCAATATGAAAATATAGGCCTATATACTATTCAGTAATTTTCTTGTGTTAAGACTAAAACTGCATCTTATATTTCAGCATAAATCTAAAGACCTATACATCACTGGGTCTGTAATGAGCATGTTTTAGAATTGTCTTTTGTTAAGGCATCTTATATTTGAACATGATACTAGAGACCTATATATATATATAATTATGTGATTTTTGTCTTGTGGAGGTGTAAGCTTCCTTAGTATACACTTTAGTTGTCGCTAGTAGATATTGTTTTCTGTCATTTGTACAGTTACTGATAGAAGTCCATTGATCTACTGTACAGATGGTACATTCCTTACTTGTGTCCATGAGCCAGTGAATTAAAATATCCTTTGTAGAAACAAATACTTGGGTTTTGTTATCATTTCCTTAATACACCTGTTGCAACATTGTTTATTTGCATTTATTTCACCTTAACATGTGTGTTTTGAAAGGCCTGCTGAGATTAATATTTGGCATCTTTTTTCACAAACATTGAAAGTACGATTAGGACTGTAACAAAAAACGTAATGACAATATAAAATTTACCTGTAATCAGTATTGAAAATCAGTTAAAAGAGAGCAAATTCTGAACACATTTGGTCGGATATCATACAGAAGATGCAAGAGGAATAAGATACCTGTTCAGGAAGGGTAAGCGTTTTCTACTTAACCAAAGATGCCAACCATGTGGAAAATTCTATATGAAATTCGAGAAATGTCTTGTTTTCATACAGAGGATCGAGGTAAATGAAACGAACTTTCCCTGATTGTCTAGAATGATTTCTATGTATCGGCTACCAAAGGTAGACAAATCTTTCAAAAAACGTTTTAAAACGCCAACATCGATTGACGAAACCTATACAACATGGCATAATGAATGAAGAAACGTTCTGCAACATGGACGTCCTAATGACTGACGAAATGTCGTACAACATGGACGTCCTAATGACTGACGAAATGTCGTACAACATGGACGTCCTAATGACTGACGAAATGTCGTACAACATGGACGTCCTAATGGCTGATAAAACTGTACAGCAGGAACGTTTTAAGGACTTGCGAAACGCTGTACAACATGACGTCCTAAGGATTTACGAAACGCTGTACAACATGACGTCCTAATGACTGTAAACTGTAAAAACTTCAAGGAAATCTATACTATGTACATAAATTCCACTGTATAGTTATGCGCGAGATTTAATCACCTTTAAATAGTCCAAACTGGAACGACCGTTAAAATATAAGCTCCTCGAAATTAACATCTATACAGAATTCTTCGGTAAGTTTCAAGACCATGGCTACATATCGCTTTTCGCCTTTTCTAGTAAGGAAATATCTAACAATAAGTCAGCGAACGCATTTCTTCGGGCCAGAGTTAACTACGGTATTGTGATTGGTGGGCAGATCAAGAAAAGATAACAGGTTTAAAATGTTCATGATTAATAGGAAACGTTCTACTGTTCTTAAATATCTTCTTTTTATCGATTCCAACTTTAAATTGACACAATATCATAAAACAACAATAACAGACTTGGTTGAACAAGATATTCTCGTGAAGTTTGCAAATCCAATAAAAACGAGGCGCATTCGTATTAAGCATACATGGTTTCAACTATTTCGTTTCTAGAAAACAGGATCCTTCTCATAGTCATGAAGCAAGCTACATAGTTCCAAACGTAAAATATCCCTTCATCCATGATGGACTATGCAGACTGCAGACAGACTCCGAAACAGTCACTCTCCAAAGTTTGGACGGGTGCTTTTCATTAAGAGGCCGTCTCGATCTGCTTGGAATAACTCTGTAAAAAGTGCTTCTGTAGACATAGAGAAACTGATGACATAAAAAGTAACAACACTAATTACAGGGACGAGGACGTATTGTGTATTCATTCGGTATACATGTAATAAGTGACAGACCCAGTCTCTCTATATATCATAGAGTGTGGAATTTACTACCATCACAGATTTCTCAAAGACTTACGTGCACGTATCCTTCTACACGGCAAACTTACGTATGTGTTGAATTATACCTGAATTGTGATCGAAAATAGCTGTGAAAATTGTTGTTTTTACCAGTACAAGTACAGCTGATATTGTTATTTACGCTTCATTCTATATTGACGAACTTTGTAAAAGACATTAAAGGCTTGTAATGTTGTCTGATAGTGTTTTGGTCTTATCAAATGAGAAGCTAGCTTACTTTTTTTTACTGAATATGGATGTAATTTTAAAATAAATGTATTTGGATGGAGTTTATTTACAGTTATTTATACACATGTTGTTCAGTCTGTTAGAGAGGCGTATATTACGGTCAATAAATTAGGATAATTTGCTCTGTATTATACACGGGTTCCTGAAAGGCCCATCTTCAGGAGAAGAATGTTACAAATTTGTCAAGAACTGGAAATCAATCACCGGCATACAGATATAAAAATACTTGCCAGGCTATGGTGTTCATTGTCAAAATAAATGTTACAACATGGCAGGTTCTACAAATATATTTGCTATTTCACAGATTTTTTACGGTAGCCTATACGATATTCAAATAAAACAAGCCATCCTGCCGATATCACTGTTTCATAACATTTGTCAGTTTTAAGTGGACCAGAAACCAAATGATCTGTTCTCAAAAATGGTTGTCATATAAAAAAATGTTGTTTAAGTAGATATGT